ATAAGCCTTGAAAGGTTAGTAGAACTTACTGAGATTTCTTTGTATGGGTTTTACTCAACATGATGCCATCTGCCACTTAGTCACTTTGAGATCCAGAAATCAGTTATTGCGTTGGTCATTGCTGTCAAGAGAGGCTAGATTTGACTATTACAAATTCACAGAGGTACCTTGGGGTTTCCATGTCCCATGTTTACAGTAAACACAGGCAATCCAAACAACCACAGCCTGGAAAAGGACAAAGAACTTTGAGCCCTCAGCAAAGACGATGTGGATTATCACGGTAGGCAAGCAGCTGTATACAGCTGGAGCTCTGGCCAAGATTGAGGGAACTCTGGAAAGGCCAGGAGAGGAAAGATGCGACGTAATTATGGCCTTGTGACAAGCAGTGGCAATGGGACTCGCTGGTTCCACTAACCGTCCTGTGATCTGTTTTCTAGAGATTATAGCTGGCTTCCCTCAATTCAAAAAGTTCAGAGTAGACTTAATGTGGGCATGAGTGGGTGGATAAAGCAGATGCTTTTGGTGCTCTGTGTCATATCTCCTCTGCACCTCTGACTTCGATTACAGCTGTGGTCAAGCAACAGAAATCCCTTCACTTTTCTGCTTAAGGCCTTCTCCAAAACTGAAAGAACCTGCTTGGCTGAGGGCAAGCATAGCCTGAAAATGCAGCTGTTAATACCTCAGGGAAACCCCTCAACTATGAGGGGTTGGGGACAACAGACAAATGCCCAGCTTTATGTTCTCCAGAGGGGGTTGTGGGAGGCATTTCATGGTGTTGTCAGAGGTGTAATTGAGCTCTTATCGCCTATAGGCCAACTTCAACCATACACCTGTGTACTGGCATTTCCTCCTTCCCTGGCTGTTTCCTATTCCAGGTTCCTGGTATCACCTCGCAAGCAAACTACCTGAACTCAAGTTCTTGGTTTTTCTTGTAAAGGAATACCAACGGAAACACATTTCCATTAGACCAGAAATAAGACCAGCGTATCTACTATCACTGCTATTGTCCCACATGACACTGTCCTTATTTATAAATGAGCTGGCCTTCTACATAGAAAACCCCAAGAGTCAATACAGAATCTATTAGAACTTGCAAAGGGTGTGATATGAAAAATAAATTGATAAAAATTAGTAATTTTCCGCTAGATCAACAATAGCCAACTAGAAAATACAGTGGAAAAAAGATTCTGTGCATAGTAGCAATAAAGCCATATTAAAGAATATATAAGATCTTTATGAAATTTTAAGAAACACTTAAAAGGATGGGAAGTTCTGAATAAATAGAGTCATGTTTGTGATATTGTAAAATGTCAGTTCTCCCCAAACTAATCAATAAATTCAATGCAATTTCAATTAAATTTCAGGGGGACTTTTTTCTCCACCCTCTCGCACTCCCAGGATCCCCAAATTTATTCTAACAGATCCATATGGGATAATAAAGGTTCCCCAAAATAGCTTAGTCAATTTTGCAAAAAAAAAAAAATTAAAAAGGCCTATTAGGAGACCACCTATGAAAAACAACACATACAATGACAATACAAATTGTTATGCAGGAACATTCAGAAATGGGTATAACAGACTAAAGACTTAAAAAATAGACTCATACCAGTATTGATAAAACTGGTTAATTATAAGGAGAAAAATACTGGTGAACCTTATTCAAAGTTACTTGTAAAATATATTAGATGTGAAAGGTTAGACTGTAAGTTTAATAAATAATAGTTTGTGATTTTGTAAAGGTCTCCGTAAGATTCCCAAACTCAATAAAACTAAATGAATAAATTGATTTTACTATATAAAAAAACTAGGAAACACTGACAAAGTTATCAGTTGGGTGAGAGATATTAATGAAATGCAAAACTGGTAAGGGATTAATACTTAAACCATAGGAGGAAATTTTGCCAAACAACAAAAAAGACCTTGACCAGTGGAAAAATAGGCAATGAATGAAAACATTCTTATTTCCCATTAGATCACAGTGTAAAGTTTTAACGTGTTATTAGAAAATTTACTGAAAGAGAAACAAAAATGTTGAATAACTATAAGGGGATGTTTAAACTCATTAATTAGGAATCAGATAAAGGCAAAACAACATGAGACCTCACTTTAAAACCATTTCATTTACAAAGACTAGGAAGCTAGGCGGCACCAATGCTGGTGAGGATGTGGACAAAAGTTGTACTCGTGCATGTAGTGGAATGTAGACTGGTGCCATCTTTCTGAAGAGCCATGTGTTCTGGGTAAAATTAAAATATTTGTATACCTGGGACCCAGGACTCCAACTCCTGTTACATACCCACTGAGAAGTCATGAAGAGTCAATAAGAGAATTAGGCACAGAGATTTCGAAGTAGAAATAGCAGAGCCAACCCTTCATTATAGGAATGCAAAACTAAAATGTGGTGGCTGCACACTAGGAAATACTGCACAACCATCATAATAACCCATCAGAGGTATATGCTAAAGGAGAAATAGTTGTCGATCATGTTGTCAGACATGAAAAGAGAAGATACCTTTGTCAAAGTCTAAGCCTTTATTATAAACCTCGTGGCAAAAGGCAGACTACCCAACTGCTTCGACTTAGGAAACAGACAACTCTTACATCTGCTTTTATATCAAGTCTTTATTAGGAAGTAAAGTGCTCAGTATTACACATTAATGAAATTCTCAATTGTTAAGAGACACCTGCGTAAGTAACATCTTTTTAATAATATTAATATAAAGGGAAGATAGGAGAGGGATGAGGAGGGAATTCTCCATGACTAAATAAGAAAAAAAAAATGTAACTGAGGGGTAATAAGGGAGAATTTTGCAGAAGAAATGAAAAACAGTATAACAGTAACTATCATAAAAGACTCTCTAGTGACCATAATTCATATATGGCACGTGGTCAATACACATGGATACCACATAATGGCTGCACTTCAAATTGAAGTTTGTTTACATGTAACAACATGGTACACATACATAAATACATACACTCGCTCTCCCTGGAACGCAAACTTTAGTACCGAGTAATCAAGGGCTTGGTGTAGTACACAGAACTACAGGCGAAGATGAAGCCATGGGAAATAACTGTTCCAGAAACCCAGTGTGTATCACCTCTATGGCAGCCAGCTTAGAAAGGTTTGCTGCTGTTTTCTTTGAAGATTGGACTGACACATTCTACCAATTGAACAGCATGGGGATTAAAATACTGAATTAAGAAACAGGCCTCTCTTCTATTCTCCTAGTAAGTTTTTCACCAATACTGTATTCTCTCTTGCTTGTCCCATTAGCTCTCAAAAGGTCATCTTACTCAAGACTTTTCAAAAATAAGATTTTTATTTTTTATTGAGAAATAGATTTCTTCCCCATTAATTTGGTAAGATGCTCTCCCAATGAAAAAACAAGCCCTAGCTGGTTGGCTCAGTGAATAGAGCGCCAGCCTCCAGACTGAAGGTTCTCGGGTTTGATTCTAGTCACAGGCACATGCCCAGGGTTACAGACGGGATCCCCAGTAGGGGGGTGCAGGAAGCAGCCGGTTAATGATTCTCTTTCATCATTGATGTTTCTATTTCTCTCTCCCTCTTCTTTCCTCTCTAAAATCAATATAAATATATTAGAAACAAAAACAAAACAAACAAACAAACAAAAACCCAAACTGCTGCAAAATCAAACTTTGGCTGACACTTTCTATTAATGGGTGAACTTTCAATATGAAAAACTCCATTTCATAAAATTGAGCTCCATGTAGAGTATACATCCTAAGGTTGGAAATACAGGTCAAGAGCATTTGAGTTCTGTATTCTTAAAATAGTACACAATGTACAATTTAGTTTTATAATATATTTATATGGATTTCATCACTCCCTTAAAATTTTGTTTAAAATAATGAGCATATTTACTACAAATTTCAGTACTAACTAAACAATTTAATAAGCGGTTCTTCCTAGATTAGTTGCAACATTACTTTCAGTGGCAAATAAGTTGAGCCATATGGAAAAGAGAATATATAGTAAGTCTTTATATTAAATTAATTATTAGAAACAGTTGAACATAGTGAAGGCTCCTTCTAATTCTCCTTTGTTAAGTCTGAGAAGACATTTTAACCCATAGTTGATCTTTGGGGTTTCATGCAGCTCATTTCAAATGGGAGAAAAATAGTGTAAAAATTAAGTAAAACAGTTATTCCCACAGACATTAGATATGATAAAAGAACAAAAACCACAGAATTCCATATTTATCTGAACCATTCATACATATTGTAGCATAATGACTACATACCCATTCTATGTTTTGGAGTTCTTTTCCAGCCTGTCCTTTAGAAAAGTTTACCCCAGGAAGGTAGTTGAAATAAAAGGCTCCTTTCTTAAAAAAAAAAAAAAAAGCTATATATTATATTAAGCCCATGAGCCAAGCTTGAGTAGGAAGGAATGCCCCTAGTTTCCCTTCACACACTGGGCTAAAACGACAATACTGACTTTTGTGATTGAAAATAAAACTCAGAAGCCTTTGAACAGTTCTCTTCTAGTTTAAAAGGCAACTTCATTGTCATTTGAGAAGACTCAGTTGTGGTACCAAGTGAGTATACCACTTCTTAAACTTTACAGAGACTTTTTTTTTTTAAATGTACTCAATATTTACACCTAATTACTTAAATGAGTTAAAAAAAAAAAAAAAAATCTTCTTTGGTCCATGGGCAAAGTTGATTTAAAATAAATTAAAGTGCAGAAGAATTAACAATTGATCACAATGACAAACATCATGTGCTGGTCAGGGCATATAAATACAGCAGGTCCTGGAATAAAGCCGTTTTATTATTAATGTTTACGCTGTGGGAATATAACTCTTGCTTATGTCAATTAGCCTGTGGTAAAATTGGTTTCATTGTATTTTGTTTCACCACAGTTCCAAGAACCGACCCATGACGTTAAGTGAGGACTTACTGCAGTAACCTTGCAATGTCCATTGAGGAAGCCACCTGCTCACCTGTTGGAAACCCATTTGCTAACACATACCCTACACGTGCATATTGGAACTCCCGTTTCCACCCACGCCTTCCATTCCTTCTGTAGACTGAGAGGAAGAAGGGCGGGAGCTTCTGGGGTGAGGCTGACCATTTAGTCCCACGGGAGTGCCTAAGCCATGACTTATTTGGGAAGCTGCATCATCAGATTCCCAGCGTTCCAACTCTTCACGCACTAGCCGTTCCATCTGTTCCCTGTGGATTTCACTCTCACGACCCAGTCTTTCATCCTAATAAGGAAAAAGGAAACCAGGAAGTTAGGGATGCATATTCTTTCTCTCTCTCTTTTTTCTAATCCTTACCCGAGGATATGTTTTTTAATTGCTTTGTGTGTGTGTGTGTGTGTGTGTGTGTGTGTGTGTGAGAGAGAGAGAGAGAGAGAGAGAGAGAGAGAGAGAGAGAGAGAGAGGGAGAGAGAGAGAGAGAGAGAGACAGAGAGAGAGAGAGAGACGGAGAGAGAAACACTGATTGGTTGTCTCCCAACCAGGTATCAGACCTGCAACCTTTTGGTGCATTGGATGATGCTTCAGCCAATGAGCCACACCAGCCAGGGCAACTGATGGGTATTCCTGTACATAGAAATTGTCTTAGGAAATTTGGTGATCAAGTAACCTGTTTATAATTAGGTATGTCTGGAGATTTAAAACATATAACAATTCTTAGTTACTACAGTAACTTCTTTGCTTAATTTTTTTTTTTCAATGCTCATCCTTTCAATCTTCCTTCTGCTTTTCTGTAACTTCCAAAGCTTTTGTAATAAACAAATTTATACTGGGAGGGAAACCACCAAATTAGTTTTTTGTTTTGTTTTTTATTATAGATATCTCCCATTTCCCCCCCCTAACCTCCCTCCTATCTCCTATCCACCCCCTCAGGTCTTCACTACCTTATTGCCCATGTCCATGGGCTATGTATATAAATTCTTTCATTTGGTGTGGCTCAATGGTTAGGCATCAACCTATGAACCAGGAGGTCATGGTTCAATTCCCAGTCAGGGCACATGCCTCGGTTGTGGGCTTAAATCCCAGGGGGGTGCGGACAGGAGGCAGCCGATTGTTATTTCCCTCTCATCAATTGATGTTTCTTTCTCTCTCTCCTTCTCCCTTCCTCTCTGAAATTAAAAACAAAAGTGTATTTAAAGCGCAGACAGCTTGTCTCAGTGGTTGAAAGTCGACCTATGAATCAGGATGTCAAGGTTCGATTCCCTGTCAGGGCACACACCTGGCTTGTGGGCTTAATCCCCAGTGTGAGGTGTGCAATAAAGCAGCTGATCAGTGATTCTCTTTTGCTTAATTTTACCATCCACTGCTGTGATGGCAGGACCATCAGTGTGTGAGGTATTAAGAAAGTAACATCTCTAGATTATCGTTTGATATGCATTGATCTGCAGTATGGAGATCACGAAACCTCCCTGATTAAAAGGGCTACATATTATAATTACCCTAATGTTGTAGACATCAGACTTACCTCGGCCACTCCATCCAGCAGTCTTCCCAGCACTTCCCTTCTCTTCAGTTTGGCGCGCTCCATGATCTCCAGCTTCACTATCACAGCATCGATCTTGGACACAATGCTGCCGATGGAGTGCTCCATGCGGTCCACTCGTCTCACCAGGCTGCAGGAAACCACACACAGTCACCTGGTGCTGTTATCTTTCCGGCTCAGTTTGCTTTTTAAATGAAGTGTTAAGATTTCTTTTTCTTCAGCAATATGATAATTTGAAACTTTTGCCAAGTAGTCTCAACTTTTAGAGATGAACTCTCATACATTGCTGGTGGGAGTGCTAACTGGTACAACTTTTCGATAAGGTGGCATTGTATTAGAAGTCCTAAAAATGTATGCCTACCTTTTATTCAGATATTCCATTTTTGAAAACTTTCTAAAGAAAATAATTAAGCAGCCTGGCCAGTGTGACTCAGTGGTTGAGTGTCGTCGACCCATGAACCAGGTCATGGTTCAATCCCTAGTCAGGGCACATACCCGCATTATGGGCTAGATCCCTAGTAGGAGTGTGCAGAAGGCAGCTAATTGATTATTCTCTCTCATTATTGATATTTCTATCACTCTCCCTCTCCCTTTCTCTTTGAAATCAATAAAAAACATACTTAAAATATATATAATTTATCATATGTATAATTTTTGGCTACCAGGATATTCAGTGTAGTTCTGCTTATTAATAGTGGGTCATTAAAAAAATGATTACATTAGATAGTAGATTACTTAAGCCCTAGCCGGTTTGGTTCAATGGACTTCCAGAGGTCAGCCTCTGGACTGAAAAGTCCTGGGTTTGATTCTGGTCAAGGACATGGACCTCAGTTGCAGGCTGCCCCCTAGTTCATGCTTGTTCCGGGCATGTGCAAGAGGCAACCAATTGATGTGCTTCTCTCACATCAATATTTCTCTCTGTCTTTCCCTCTCTCTTCCACTCTAAAAAAAATCAATGGAAAAATATCCTCGGTGAGGGTTAAAAATAAATAATTCATCTATACAGTAGACTCTAAGGAGACATCAGAAATTATATTCTGAATAAATATTTAATGAAATGGAATGATGTTCACAATATATTAAGTAAACCAAGCAGTTAGAAAATAGTATATTCACTTATGCCCCCCACTGTTTTGAATAAATAAAATGCTATGAATCCTTAAAAAAATAAGTAGGAAACAACTGGAATGGTGGCACGAGGGCTCTGTAGGCCCTCTCTTCAGTGAGATAACCATAACTATTGAATACTATTTAAAATGTTCTTTTAATTTCTGAAAATTTCTTAAGAACACAGAGCAAATAAAGAAGCATTTAAAGCAATCCATGAAATGTCAGTAAGGAGAGTGAGAGTCTGTGACACCTAAGGCACACGCTGCTCCATCTCACCTGCCCCCAGCTCCGTGGGACAGAAGCACCATTCTTGGTGGGAGGGTCAGAGGACACAGGGCTCTCTCCCCTGAGATCCCACTGGAGAGCTACAGTATCTCCAGGGAAGAGGCAGGTTGTCAGCATTTCTCATCCCATGTTTCCACTCAAAATCCATGTTTTAGAAGCGCTAATCCAGGCCAAGAGCAGCTAACTATAAGGCTCTTTTCCCACATCTAATAATGGAGATGGTGGTGATAAGGAGTGAAGAGAGACTGGTCACTTCATGAGATCAACAAAGGAAGCTATTTACCAGCTAGTTTACCAGGGAGAACCAGGGAAGGAGACAGCAGCTAAGGAGACTGCTAAAGACTGGCCTCAAAAATTACCTCTCCAAGGGGCCTGATTTTAATAAGACTGTAGAGCAATTTACATCCCGAGGCATCATTGAAAACAATAGGCCAATCAACCAACAATCAGTGGAACCTAAGAGGTGGAAGTGATATCAGCAGAGGCAGAGGCTTGACAGAGAATCAGGGAAAGACCAGAAGAGCCCTGTTCGAACCAGTCTTCCCAGGATGCCAGGGTGCCCCGCCGGGCTGTGCCCTCTGAGAAGCAGAGTCAGAAGCTTCACACGTAAAGACAGGCTATGCTGCTGGCCTGATCTCCCACTAAACAGCAACAGAAACACATCCTGGAGGAAGGAGAATTAGGACCCAGAGTTTCTGTAATGTTATTTAATATCTTTAGTTTTCAATAAAAAACATTATGAGACACAGAAACATAAAAATGTGACCATATACAGGAGGGTGGGGCGGGGGGGAGGCAACAGAAAAGGCTTTGAGAGGGCCCAGATAGACTTAATAGACAAAGAGTTCAAAGTAGCTATCATAAATATATTCAAAAACTAAAGGAAATCGTGCTTAAAGAAATAAAAGAACATAGGATGTCATTGTCTTATCAAATAGAGAATATCAATAAAGTGATGGAGATTATTGAAAAGAGCCAAACAGAAATTCTGGAGTTGAAAAGTACAACCCATTAAATGAAACAATTCATTAGGGAGTCTCAACAGTAGATTTCAAACTGCAGAAGAAAGAATCATGAACTTTAAGGTGGGTAGAAAAGATGCAATCTGAAGAACAGAGAGAAAAAAGAATGAAGAAAAATGAACAGAGCCTAAGAAAAATGTGGAATACCATTAAGCACCTCAACACACACATTACATGGAAAGGAGAGAGGAAAGGAGCAGTAAAATGTCTGAACACCTTACTAAATTTGATGGAAATCTTACACATTTAAGAAGCTTAATAAACATCAGGTAGGATAGCTGCAAAGGGATACATACTCAAGTATATCATAGTAAAAATACTGAAAAATAAAGACAAAGGAAAAATCTTGAAAGCAGCAAGAGAAAAATATTTGTCACGTACAGGGGGACCTCAGTAAGGTTAACAGCTGTCTTTTCATCTGAAACAATAGAGGCCAGAAATAAATAAAAATATTCCTTGATCAATGAATACTGAGAGAATCCATGCAAGCAGGCCTGCTTTAGAAGAGATACTAAAGGAGTTCTGAAACCTGAAAGCAAGTGATCACAAACAGTACTGTAATTATAATTTTCATGAAAAAACAAAGACCACTGGTAAAGGTAATTATGTAACTAATAGAGTCTCAGTGCATAAAATTCATGCACAAGGGGAGGGGATTCCTCAGCCTGGCCTGTACCCTCTCCAATCCGGGACCCCTCAGAGGATGTCCAATTGCTGGCAGTTGGGCACCCTCTTGCAATCCGGGACTGCTGACACTTAACTTCTCGCCTGCCTGCCTGCCTGATCACCCCTAACTGTCTTCCCCTACTGGCCTGATCTTCCCTAACCACCTCTGCCTTTGCCCCTGCCACCATGGCTTTGTCCGGAAGGATGTCTGGAAGATGTCGGATCCTATTAGCATATTACCCTCTTATTAGTATTGATACAGGGCAGTATGAATTCATAGCTTCCTCCTTTTTCTCTTAACTGATTTAAAAAGCAACAGTACAAGACAAATGTCCAGAACATAAATGCCCTAGTGCATCTGATAATAATGGGACAAAGGAGGTGGGTCAGAGCCACGTTGTATGGCAATGCCTTTATACTTACACTTGAAACTCTTCGTAAGAAACCCCACTGGAGATGCTTCCTCTCCTTCTGGAGCTGTGCCCACTGTCTTCATCGTCCTCCTCCTCGGAGTCGTCCAGGCTCCGTGGGAAACTCCTGCTGCTCATGGGACGTGGTAAAGAGCTGTGATCCAAGTCCAGGTCCTCCTAAAGAAATGGGGCCAGTGAGCTTCACCCAAGACTTGGACCAATGAGAAATGGGCATGTGCCATTTACCTCTGGTTTCTCTGTGGCTCACACCAGACTGGAATTCCCACACTCTGTAATTTCATGCATTGGCAAGTTTTCGAAACAGATTGTAATTACTAGTGAGGAGTAAAGTTGTTTTTTGGACAAGAAAGAACATAGAAAAAGTGAATGAAGAAATATACCTCTTTTCATGAAAGATAACCCATTTAATAGATACAAAGTAGGAAAGATATAATCTCAGAATAAAGATCTGGCTAAATACAGTCTATGAAAACTGTACTCTTTGTCTTCTTGTTCACATTTCACTATGATTGGTAGTTTTTCACCTAATGGTACTCTTCTGTGGAGCAGCATTGAGAAATCACTCTTCTATACTATCTTCTCATAGGAAAATGACTTTTATGTTTAACATGCACCTTCATTCTTTGTACCTCAATTACCATCTATTGTTTAACCATTTATTTTTAAAGTTCACATTAAATTTTAACCGATTTTTTTATTATAAAAGCCCGATTTACTTTTAATAGTTTAATAAATATTCAACTAGAAGGCAGCTCTTTTATTTTAAATGTTAATTTGAAGAGTAACTAATTTTATATTTCCTAAGAAATATTTCCCCCACCCCCTCTCTCATGAACATTGTGAAATAGGAAACTACTCGTTTTTCTCTTTTCAAGTTCATTACTAGAAAGTTTAGGGCCAAATCTGTAGCCCAACTGTAATAAGCATATGTGTTATTATGGAATGCTTTTTTAGCTTCATTTATAGTCTAGTTTTATATTTTACTTTTGTTTTGCCTCATTCTTCATTTTTTTTTACATATATACTAACTTATTACATTTTAATATATTATGTTATATATTCTTATTGGAATAAGTAGGGTACTAATACATCAAGTAATGAGTGAGTGAGAGAAAGAGAGAGAGAGAGAGAGAGAGAGAGAGAGAGAGAGAGAGAGAGAGAGAGAGAGACTCAGTAACCCACTACTTCATATGGTGTCTGAAACATCATGGGTGCTGAATCAAAGCATGTTCTCCTAAACTTAACTCACCCTCTCCTTTTCCAAGTCATCTCTCATCTGCTGGTGTTCATGCTCAGTCAGCTCCTGGTCTCCATCTTGGTCGTACTTTGTGAAGATTGCCTCAATCTCTGCATCAGTATGGCCCTTCCTGAAATGATCAAGAGGTTACAGATGAACTCATTCATCTACATGGTCCAACCCCAACACAGAGACAACAAAATGCAGGGAAGAAAGGAGAAATTGCTGGATTGGGGACAGTCCTCCTCTTATAATATGCTCCAGGAAGACACCCACCGCTGGGAAAAGTGTCTCTATGAGTTCTTAGGCCAGGGACACCCTTATCCTCAAGAATGGATCTTTACATGAGGAACTCTCCAGGCCCTCAGAAAGTCTGATTCTCACCCTTTGAGATCCTGTCGAAGTTCATCAAAGTTTAACTTGCCTCCCCCTTGCCGCAGACTCTCTGAAATGTCATCCACAGTATTTCTTCTTAGTCTTAGTTTGACCAAGGCTTTATGGTAGCCCTGTTGAAAAATAAAACACTTAGTTGAGTGCATTCTCCTTTTGCATTTGCTTCACATTCAATTTACTGAAACCCGGCACAACGCTGGATGTAAGTTGGCCACTCAACAAGTATGTGTTGAATAAATGAATAGGGGACGTATCTTGAGTTTTCCATAAAACTCATTTGGAAGAATTATAAGAAAAAAGATTGGGTCTTTCAATAAATCAAAAGAACTAAGCATCTTTTGCTTATATGAGAATGCAAGTTTAGGTTATAGAAATGAAACTCAGCAAATGTTTCATAGCTGTCTGCCTCAGAATACTAGGAATGTGCAACAGTTCTTAAGAATACTGAGGGGCCAGCTGGCATGGCTCAGTGGCTGAGTATGAACCAGAAGGTCACGGTTTGATTCCCAGTCAGGGCACATGCCCAGGTTGAAGGCTCAGTCCCCATGTGGGGTGTGTGGAAGGCAGCTGATTGATGGTGATTCTCTCTCATCATTGATGTCTCTTTCTCTCATTCTCTCCTCCTCTCTGAAATCAATAATAATAATAATAATAATAATAATAAAATCCTGAGGAACCTGAGTTATAAGTTGTTTATTTTCTGTTATCTCATAGTAATTTCTTGTGTGTGTGTGTGTGTGTGTGTGTGTATTTTATTTCAGTAAAATGTGGAAGTGGGTTTTTCATTAATAAACTACAGGCAGACTTTGCTTTGCACTATAGTGCACGACTGTGACATGACCATGCAAGTTCAAACTATACAAAGTGACGTTAATAATCAACAGGAAAAATTATGATTGCTCCATGACCTTTAAGTCTTTTTGTCAAACATTAAAAGCTCCTTTAGTGTTGGCTATAAAGTCACAGGAGCATTTAAAAATAAAATAAAATGAATATTTACTACATTCAAATGTAAAATATTAGAAACATTTCAAAATTAAAGTGTTTTATTTCTTTGTAAAAAATGTATTCTAAAACTTTCTAAATCACAATGTCATGTAGCCCTCTCTTATCCAGTGGACCTCAAAGTAGGGATTTCAACGACCCCTCCCAAAGGGGCCCCCTTTCTGAGTGGAAGATTAGACTCGGCGTGTGGCAGCTCCATAGCCCGTGATGGTGAATATTCCCACAAATCAAATATGATGAGTGGACACTCCCCAAAATTGCTTTTACTGAATATTTGGGCAGCCAGGCCAGTGAGGACCAAGATAAAAGCTGATCACTTCAAAGTCAGAGGTGCTCTGAATAAAACAAATTAAAATTTTACTCGTTCCAAAGGGCAGAAAAAGAAGCTAACCACCCTGGATATCTCAGAACTGAGTATCTTTTATTGCATATATGAGAAGAACAGTGTGAATATGAGAAGAACAGTGTGATTTATACTGCAACTTATTTCCATAATGGCACTCTGGGACACAAAAGAATTAATTAAGTTCCAGATTTTTAGAGGCATCTCAACTGTTCACTTTGAACAGTTCATATTAAGTTACTGAATGCAGAATGCGCTAGAACTGTCTCTTTCTATCCAAATAAAACAAGCTCCTCTTACCATATGCAGTCTTTTGAATGGCATATGCTATGACTCAGCACAACAGCTATGTGACCTTGGACTTGTGTTACATCCTCCCTAGAGTGTGGGTATTAGCAATCAATTGACATAGCTGTCATCAGATATAAATAATAACATATGTAAAGTAATTAGCATTGTATTGTGGGGGTTCAGAACAAGTCATCCCAAAATGTACCTCTGTGGTACACAGATTGTTTTGAGCTAAAGGCAACTTTAGCCACAGATGCAAGAGAAACTTCTGGCCTTCCCTTAACTACCTAGAAGAACTTGAATTGGGAGCCTTGCCCCTAATAAGCAATTATCCGAGATAAACACCTTTGACCTGTCTACAGGGCAGCATCGACTTCTATTTACGAAGCATTTGCTCTTATCATCCTGCAATGACAGCTGACGTCTCCAAGGCACCTCACATCATTTGTAGCTCAGAAATGTCTTGTACACCCATGCTTCTATCTCCAGGCTCCACGTTTCTATCTCTGAACTTCTTGTGCATGTGAAGTTTCTGATTCTCATTTATATGAAATTCCCATATATATATAATAAAGAAATAAATATATATTAATTGTTTAAAATATTCATATATATATATATATATATATATATATATATATATATATATAGATTTTAAAGAGGAAGGAAGAGGAAGAGAGAGAAATATCAATGACAAGAGAGAATCATTGATCGGCTGCTTCCTGCATGCCTCCTGCTGGGGATCGAAGCCTGCAACTTGGGCATGTGCCCTTGAAAGGAATCGAACTTGGGACCCTTCAGTCCACAGGCCAATGCTCTATCCACTGAGCCAAATAAGTGAGGGCTACTTATGTGTACTTTAGATTTGGTTATTTTTCTCTTGTTAATCTGTTTCAGGCAGAGGAACTGAGTGGGGAGGAAAGTTCCTTCCTCTCCCACTGCTGGTGCTGTGAGCAGGATGGACTCAGTGGCTGGAACCCCGCACTTCCCGCCGAGGCTGCTGCAGACGGAGGAGTTCCTGGAGTGTCTCACAGGTAAGGGTTATGCCAGGTAAGGGTTCTTACCATACTGGTACACTCCCAGATCTCCTTCTGTAGGATCTGGTTGAAGCAAGAATGGTAAGAAACTTTTTCTCTCTTTTAAATTTGTATTGGCAGAAGAAAATATCTGTTAAACTAGTTTCTTAGAGAAAGATTTTTGGTTCTTTGGTAGGTAGCCAAGGTTTTGTTTTTCTCTGTCTCTGTCTGATTTCTCTCAATTTGTCTTGTTATTTGTCCTAAGAAATGTGGCCTTATGACAAGTGAAAGAACTTTCTCTCTGACTCTACCACCCAGAGAGTGCGCTTGCCAAAGGTGCACCTTGCTCTCTATTCAGCCAAGACAAGCTCTCCAGGGAGTTTGCTGTATCTCTCCTGTTCCTCCTAGACACATCTGTCACCTCTGCCAGCTGGAGAATGTGAATGCGTCTGGTGAGTAGCCCAACAGTGTGTGGATACGAGCTTAGGGAAGCTTAAACCTTATTCTGTTCAAAAGGTAAAGCAGGTGATTCCCTGTGTTCTGGAACAGCTGCTTAAGGACAGTGTCTGTCCCTCCTCCCCGCCCTTCCCTTTGTATTTCTTAGGCTAACTTTGGGAATAAACTTCCTTGTGAGGTTGCATCTTTTTTCATCTCCTTTGGAAAAGCCTTTTATTATAGTATTGGTTCGAGTCACTATAAATTCCACTGTCAAGGCCAGACTATAGATCTGGAAAAAACTTCTCAATGGGAAAGAAACATTTTTCTTAGAGAACTCTCTTATTGCCACAATTGTTAACCATTATGATTCTCTTAATAAGATGGAAGGACAGAAATCAGGACAAACATCAAAGTCCATTGAGACCCCTTCCCTGCCCTAGCTGGTTTGGCTCAGTGAATAGAGCGTCAGCCTGTGGACTGAAGTGTTCTGGGTTCAATTCTAGTCAGGGCACATGCCCAGGTTGCAGGCTCAATCCCTAGTAGGGTGTGTGCAGGAGGCAGCCAATCAATGATTCTCTCTCATCATTGATGTTTTTATCTTTCACCTCCTCTCTGAAATCATTAAAAATATATTTGTTTTAAAAAAAGATCCCTTCCCATTTGCCTTCAGACATTTGCAGATATTATAAAAAACAAAACAAAAATAAATCAGGATATTGGAAGTACAATCGTCTTGCCGGTAAGAAGAAAAAAAAATGACAGAAAAAGAATGACAACCAAAATGTTATATCCTTAAAACTCGGCTTGGTAACTGTCAAGTTGGAAGTTCCAATGGCCAGACAGAAGCAAGGGCTAAACTACGGCCAGGGTCCCACCCAAGTGCTGCCAGCCCCCAGAGAAATGATGTTCTAAACTTACAGTGGCTATTATGAGGAATGTGAAAGAAACTGGAATAAATAAAGCAGATATTGATGGGGTTAAAACAAAGGTTTTAATAAGCACTACCAAATGAATAATGGGTCAGATTGAACCCTTGTTGTTCCCTCCAGATTAAAGGGCCCCAAACAAGTCTGCACTATTACCACAGTGTGGAGAAATGTAAAAGACTGTGAAGAAATGATTACAATAAGAAACCTAACCAGCAATCACTAGGGATGGAATCAGGTTTGTTAATTAAGATTGGTAACAGGACCAGGGTTTCTGAGCTCTGACTTCGCTGCTGGAGGGAGACCCAAAGCCTTTTTACTCAAGAGTGGGTGAAATGGTCAGGAGATAAAACAGAGAAATTTCCAGGACTCTTGTGAATTCATGAACTAGGGCACCAAAACCTATTGGTGAAGCCCTGACTCGGGCTATAATTACATTAAAAGAATATGAAAATGTAAGAATTGATAAGATTATTGAAACTGGAATTTTAAAATAAGCTTTATGTTTAAAAAAAAAAGTTAGGTAAACTCTAATTGATTGCATCTCCTTTATCTGAGTGCAGGAAGGAAGTAGACACTGTCTCACCTGGGAGCTGGGACATGAAGCTGTCTGTTCTTTCGTGTGGCTATCAGAGAAAAAGACTCCATAAGTTAGTAACCTTTGTGCCCTCTTAGGTCCACAGAATTGTTCAGTACTGCCAGATATATTTACTCTTTGTCCCAACTGAACCCTAACAAGATATCTGAAAGGACTTAATACATTTTTTATCAGAAGTTTTGTCAAATTAGCTTGACTGGAATGGCTCAGTGGTTAAGCGCTGACATAAGAATCAAGAAGTCATGATTTGATTCCTGGTCAGGGCACATGCCTGCAGGCTCAACCCCCAATGGGGGGGGTGTGCAGTAGGCAGCCAACCAATGATTCTCTCTCATTATTGATGTTTCTGTCTCTTTCTCCCTTACTCTCTAAAATTAGTAAAAATATATATTTAAAAAATTTAGTCAAATTAGAAACTAATGTCAGAACCTAATAAGAATTTTTAAGAAATTATTCTGAGCCCTTTCCTAAGATAAAATAAAACTATGCACACAGA